CAAGAAGAGGTTGGTTGCTGTAGAAGTGAATAATAGCTATTCAACAAAGTATTAAATGAAGATTATATATTCTTTTTTTATTGTACGAATACTTTTTTACCAATTAAAACGGATAAATGGGATTTATTTCTACTAAGTCAAAATTTTTACTGTTTTCTATGCCTATTTAGTTATTATGCATCTGTGTACAGTTAATTATATGAAAAATATGTTTATTCATTAGCTGGAAATACAATAAATTAAATATTGGTATGTGTACAAATATTTGTTTCTCTCCACTGTATATATAATATACATGTTATTTTAAAATTTATTTAAATATGATTTTATATATGTTTATTGTTATTTTAGTGTTTTGACGTTTCTAATATTTTTAATGGCCTAGAAAACTTGAGTAAAATCACCTAAGGTGAGTTTCATTTTTCCATATAATATTTAAGAAAAACTGACGTATCTTAAAAAATGACAAATCAAACTGGTGTTTCTATGTGATATAGCAGCTACTGAAATGTGTACAGATTAAATATAACATTTATAATAAAAAAAACTAACAATCCTTTGTTTAAAAATTACTTTCAGTTGTGAAAATAAAGTTAATGTTAAAGTATGCTTGGTTTGAATAAAAAGGTAATACAGGTTAGATTCCTGTCAGGAGGCACATTTCCCTTAAGACATTCAATCTCTAGGCTGGTAAATATTAATTTACAATTTTGGAAGTTATGTATTCCCAAATCGTCACCAATCTCGGTACTGACCAGGTTCAATGTTGCTTAACTTTCGTGATGGGATAAGAACAGGTGTTTCAAGATAATATGACTAAGTCATCTAATACTATTAATGAAATAAAAAGCAAGATTGGTTGGTTGTATTTTTTTTTTTTAAAGCAAGGTTCGCCCTGTAGATGTAGAGTTACATTAGGAGGTAATTTATGCAGAAAGGAGGGGAAGATAATGATTAAGTCTAACCTTGAACAGGTTAAGATTGTAGTGATCAGGGAAACCTCTTCTTGGGAGTAGATTCTACAGATCAGTGGTTAGTGGGAAGAAGCTGTTCGAGTGGAACTTTTTCTCACTGATGGAATACGTAAGGAATATGGGTGTAAGAGGCATGGCAGGTCCTTGCTGGTTAGAACTGGCGAAACCTAGGAATATAGTTCGTCTGAACACTTTCAGCAGAAACAGTGATAGAACAGCAAGCGGCTTGCCACATCTCACCTGTGAGAGAGAGGGTGGAGAATAATTTGTTACCCACAAGTGGCATGTCAACCTCTATGTGTTATTTAATATTGAAATCTAAATATTTTGTATGCAATTTTATTTATTTTTTATCTTTTGGAGATGATAATGATTTTAGTGATATATGTTTTACTAATTAATCCATTCCTGGGGAGCAGGTAGGGAGAAGAGGTGGATTCATACCTTTCCTAGGGTATTTGTGCATATAAGTAAATGTAACGAACCCAACTGGAATTAGAACTTGGTCCTCTGATTATTACACACCTGCACATCCAAGCTTAAAGTACCCAGTGTTCCCAAGTAGGGACTTATCTAGGTACTGACTAAGCTCAATGTTGCTTAATTCTGATGATTGTATGGGAATCAGTGTTTCAATGTGATGTAGACATAAACCAATAAAAAGCAAAGACAAATAAAATGAAAATAGCTAAGGCGATAAAATGATCACTGACAAGGCTTGATGTAAGAAATTCAAATCTTATTCCATCTAATACTACTAGTGGAATAAAAAGCAAGAGAAATAAGATGAAAGAAATCCTAGTGAAAATTGAATAATAATTGACAAGGCTTCATGTAAGAAATTCAAATCTTATTCCATCTAATACTACTAATGGAATAAAAAGCAAGAGAAATAAGATGAAAGAAATTGTAGTAAAAAATGAAAAGTAGTTAGTCAGAATAGATCATATTCAAATATAGCACAAGAGAAATATTAGCTATAAAAAGTATTGTCTAATGAAAATCTAAAAATTTGAAGCGTTTTTGTACATCAAGAAAAAGATTAAAAACGGATTGGCCACAATTGAAAGATAAAGAACTTTTTTTGTATTATTAAAATATGATCACTGTGTCTATTCTTATATGAGAAAACATTATATTTTCACAGCTTCAGCTGTTATTATTTAATACATTGTGGAAATTGTTTTTCTAAAATGGAAAAGATAAAATCTCAAGAAAGTAAAAATAGATAAGTTAAAAATAAATGAAGTCTGTTCAAAATGAAAATTAACAACTTGGCCTAAATTTTGCTTCAAACATTTTTTAGATAAAAGACTGACAGTCAATATAAAGAAAACTAAAAATGTTTTTTATGAAGACAAACTCCGGTCATCCTTGATATGGAACAAGGATGAAGTAGCTTGTTTTCCCAAACTGTTACTACAGAAGTGTGTTCAATCCTTACTAAGTTAAGCTTATAAAATATTAAGAGTCTCTAAATTTATCTAAGCTTGGCACAAGGTCACGAGTTTGAAGCACTCTCTGAAGATCACATCAGGAACTTGTAAAACTAACTTACTTTTTTTACTTGAGGACAAAACTTCTTTTGAAAATGCATGGCTTGTCAATTTTAACACCTACAAAACTAAACTTCTCTCCATTAATCATCTGAGAGGTCGCTCTCTGTCTTCCATCAGCATGGCTGATGCTAGCCTCCAGGAAAGTGAATTGTTGCGCCTTCTTGGGCTGACGTTCTCTGCTGACATGAAGTGGAAAGACCATATTGAATCCATTGCTAGATCAGCTGCTAAGAGGATTGGTTCACTGTGTCATGTGAGACATTTTTTTTTCTCCAGAATATATCTTACATATCTATAAGTATCATGCTTAGAATATTGTTGCCACATATGGTCTGGTGCCCCTGCTGTTTACCTTGAGCTCTTTGATATGATCCAAAGAAGAATCAGCAATATTATTGGTCCTGATCTGGCAGTTTGGCTTCAGTCACATGCCCATCACTGTAAGGTTGCCTCTCTCTGCCTTTTTTTATAAATACTTTCATGGTAATTGTCCAGATGATGTCTTCGCTATGGTAGGTAAACTGTGAATTTAAGTGCAGTAATAGACTGGTGTTGAGATCTCATCAATTTACAGTTCAGCTGGCTTAATATAACTGTAAATTCTATGCTTACAGTTTATTTTCTTGCTTGTGGAACTCCCTTCCAGCTGCAGGCTTTCCAGTCAAATTTAATCTGCAGTAATTGAAATGCAATGTCAATTGCTATCTACTGTCCTCCTGATTACTTCTTTCTATTTCTGCTCATTATTAATGTTTCTATTCCTAATTCTTCCACATGCTGCAATCTCTTGTGTTTTAGTGATTTTACTTCCTTGCTTGGGGTGATACCAATTAAAGAAAAAAAAATGCATACTAAGCTTAACCTAGTCTTGTACAAGGCCATAAAGGAGGAGCACTGTGTGTACTTAACTGATATAGGTGCATTAACAGTAAATATACAAGAAGCATGATCTTTAAATTCTTCCACAAGCAGATTTGTATTAGTGAAAAGAAAAGATAAGAAGTCAATTCCTTTAAATCATTTTACCCAAGGGAACCTCATGGTGCCGATCTGTTTTTCCATATTTCTCCAAATTGCAGGTGATTTCTGAAGAAGTAACCTTTTAATTCTGATTATTTACTTGCCTTGAGAATGTATCTGCAAAAAAACTGACAACAAGTGTGTTAATCTAACACAGGGCTTCACAACCAGGGTGGGGGATCTTTTGCTTTTTCTTGTTTTTTCTTTTATTTACAGTTTTATTTATTGAATTTCAATTGACTGACATTCTATTGACCTTTTTGTTGATTGAAGTAAGCTTCACTTTATTTATTTAATAATTAGTTAAGAATTAAAGTAAAGGCTGTGTGCCTTATCACCATTCAGTAATATTACTGATCTCATCAAAGTCACTGCACAGTGAAAAGAACAGTGTCTTTATTATCACTGTTCAGTGATAATACTTTTTCATTATCTAAAAATTTTTTTCATAATTTATGCTTATTTATCACTTACCACTATAGGAAATTAGAAGGTATTTCATAAAAATAAATTTATTTTGTATTAAAATTAAAAGATATTTTATAAAACAAATTACTATACAAGTATTAAAATTTAAAAATTTATCAACATTTTCTATTGCTATTAAATTTGTAAAACTCCTCTATAAAAATAATCCATGTAAATGTTTATGTATTAATATGGAACAGAATGAAGATTTTCAGTAATATGTGTATATTATTTGGAAACTTTTGATATCTGCCTATATTTCTGAGATGAGGTATTATGTACACTATTTACATTATTTGGACGATTGTCCTCATCTTTGTTGCCATATTTATTATAATGTTTCGGCCGTTGTTCGCTCTGGCCACATGACACAGTGGATAAAGGCATTAGTTAGATCCAGTGACAGGACCCAAAGAGTGTGAGTTCAATACTCGGTTAAGGCAGTGGAGAACTTGGAAAGGGGAATTAACAGGAGATAACTGACAACTGACATTTATTAAACATGGCACATGGAACTCAAACAGTCTACCCCAGTGAGCAAAATAAAGGGTTCAATTCAACATTCCAACTGGCTGAAACGTAATAAATATGTTGACAAAGATGAGGACAATAGTCCGAATAATGTAAATAGTGGAAACTTTTGAGTCGGACAATCTTGTAAAGTGGAGGGGTGACATTCTGATGTATGGTGAAAAGAGTGAATTGGGCAAAAAAGGTTGAGAAGCACTGAGATCTAACGGATGACTAAAAATCTTGCACAATTGTGTAAAGAAAATAGAAAAATAAAAAATTTTAAACAAAAAAAAAAACAAAAAAAGAAAGAAAAATAAAGTAACATTTTTATAAAAATTCTTTTGAATGAATCATTTAATCTTGGAAGTATTTCGATTGTGATGAAAAAGAAAAAAATTAATGAATTTTAAGCTGTCATATGATTTAGGTAATGGAGGGATGTAATTGCCCTAAATTGAAGTCATGATTAGTCCCAGAATTTAATGACCCCATCCCAACCTGCTGTGGCCACTTTGGACGTCTCGTGTGGGTGCCACATTGCAGCAATGCATACATTGTCATGGGCCTTGAATTTACTGTACAGCTTTGTAGTCTTCCAATCCCAAATGTAAAGTTTCCCATCAGCGTCACCACAGATGATGTAGCTGCAAAGACAATAAAAAATATTTTAAAAATCATTATAGATAAATTCCAGTTCTTCAAAGCTAATTATAAAACTTTCTATGACCTTGCTAATTTACATGAATTTTTCAATCAAGAGTGAAATCTTTTAGATTTCATATTTGATATCCCAAAACTTGTGATGCATTTATGATTGGTTTGTTTTTTTATGATTTATCAACACATTATGGGTTATTTAACTTTTACCACTCTGTGACTTCATTTTATTATACAAAAAGTTTATCTTGCCACTGAAGGTGACTGATCCCTGAACAATAGTGTGTTTGCATTTCATAGTTGTGCTCTCATATTCTCCTATTGTTAAATAATAATTTAGCAGACTATTATTTTTAGGGAGAATGGTATCTCTGCTCAGACTTCTTGAGGTTGACCTTTGGGGTGAATGGAAGGCAAAACAAGGAAGTCAATTTTGATTGGCTGAATGAGCATGAGAATGATAGACGGGGAATGGGTTTTCAGTAAGTCATGTCTTAATCATTAAGCAATGTACACGTTTTCTTTTGTGTTTGGAACTGCTCCCCAATGGAGTGAGAGAACAACCTTACTGGCTAGTTAGAATATGTATACATCAACGTTAATAAATGTTGTAGTATACCTACGAATGATAATGGGCATGTCCCCATTCACATAAATACAGTAGTAAATACTGTATGTTGGTCTGCAGTTGGAGATTCATTGCAGTATTCACTTGACTCACTTCTAGCAGTTGACTACTTCTACGTACTGTAGGCTAATCTTATATGTGTTGTTCTTGCCCTAAGTATTATCGTTCATTACCAATCTTCATGTGATTATTTTATTAAGTAACCTTACCTAGGTTACAACAATAAACTAGTTAAGTTAAAATTCCTGTGTTGAAGTTCTTTTATCTCTGGACACAAAACAATGAGCAATCACCTGACGTGAAAGAAGAATGCAACTTGAATATTGAATTGATGCTGTCACCCAAGAGCTCTCCATAACGAGGGGGTATACTACACTATGTAAACAGAAAACAACTTTGAGTGAAATTAACAGTAAGGATACTGCAATTGAGAGCCCTTGAAAAAGAAATGCAGCGGAAAGAGAAGTAATATTAATAATGCAGTGTGCTAAAGGTTAAAGAAACATATTTTGGAATTTATGAATAACTTTTTGGTTTTTCTGAGTGAATATTGCATAACAATTTTTTGAGAATAACAATGATTTTTCCAGATATTTTTCCATTTAATGTATAGCTGGAAGAAGGTGGGTCACTTGAGTGTTGCTCTAGCAACTGCCAACATCTGCCCTTTGCCAACCTTCTCCAGGCTGGTTTGAATTCAGAGTTTTCCTCCTCCTAGACTAAGGCTATATAAGGCCCAGTCTATACTGCTATTTTATCTATAGCTGGAGGGATGAGATGGATTCATACCTTTCCCAAGAGTATTTACACATAAATGATTATAACAAAGCACTGGTTCTCATCTGATCACTGGAGTTAAGCAACACTGAGCCTGGTCAGTACCTAGATGAGTGAGTGCTTGGGAATACCAGGTGCTCTAAGCTTGAATGTATGAATACCCTTGGGTGATGATGAATTGAAAAGATTCCGCCCCTACTGATACATATAGGGCCAGCGCAGTAGGGTAATGGCCGATTACTCCCCATCATTCTGGAGAAGGCCTACATCCAACAAAGGAACTTCACAAGCTGAAAAGAAGAATGTAATGAAGTTGTCTGTAATTTGAAATCTGCTCTGATTTCTCATTTCAAGCTGCTATCCATTACACCATCCACACATCCATGACATTATATGAAGCCAACAAACTGAAGAAAGCATGATGCAATTTGAACAGATTGCTCAATTTGTTTCTCTGTCAAATTATATAGCATTTCCCGTGTCTTGCCAGACGTTTCACACATCTCTTGGAATCACTCCATTTTCCATTAACATTTATTTCTTTTTTTTTTGTGGAAGTAATCTTGTGTCTTGAACTTCCCAATTTTATGGCACATACCCTGAATGCACATACCCTGAATCCATCATCAAAATTCAGGATCTGGAATTAGTAAATACTAAACCAGTGGTTCCCAAACATTTTTTTTTCTGAGACACATTTTCAGAATTAAAATTTGCTCACTCCTTACCAAATTTTATGTGATAAAAAGTACATTTAAAGATAAACACAAAGAGAGGTTTAAAGGGAGATAAGTGCAGATTCGAAGTCAGAACATTATCATTGATAACTCTTTTCTAATCTGTGAACCCTAGTTACAATATTATTAATACTTGATATAATGCACGACGATAAAAACAGTCAATAATTATTTATAACTATTTATACTGGGATTCATGCAAGCAATCACAAGTAATTCATAATAATATTTTAAATTTTAAGACCATATTTATTTTTGGCATATCATTGTCTCACCTGCTATCCTCTTCTGCCACATCTATGAGGCATGCTGCACTGCTTGGGGACTGTTGTACTAAACATTTCAGATACCACAAGGTATAAAACAGTTATAACAAATTTAGTAAAGAAGAAAAGGAAATTGATAACAAAAACCACATCACAAGGACTTTCAACAGCAGTAACAACTAAAATGGATAGCACATGTCACTCAAAGAGTGAACGATAACACAATCAAGATGCTGATGTTCCACATTACCTCCTCAAAAAAAAAAAAAAAAAAAAAAAAAATGCAATCAATATTAATAAGAGCTTTAACTGTTATTGGATTTTAGAAACCTATTTTCCAAAAAGAGGAAGATTTTATAAATTTCAACTGACAACAACATGAAATGTTCGGCCAATGAATGCCAAATGTTTTCTTATAAAGAAATGGGTAAAATTGCCATTATTATCATGGCAGGATGTGATACAATATAGTTTTAATGTTGGGGTGTTCATATGTGTATATATGAGCCAAGAATAAAAATTATCTGGTTCATCAATATCCACCATTGTTCCCTTTTTAGAATAATGCTGCTGCAGGGTTTGTTCTTTTTTCATTGAGGATGTGTAACATTTCATAAAGAAATTAGAGATTTGTTGAATAGAGAATTTCAGCTTTAGATTCCACATCACCATTACATGGATGTTTCAGGAAATCAGTGGAAATCTTTAGTTGAAGAGGAGGAAAAATGTCATAAAACAATGAATGAAAATAAAATTCAACAGTACATAGTAATAACAAAAGAAACTAAGTAAGGTATTAAGGAATTGAAAAAAAAAAACTTAGAAACAAAGGAAATAGTTCTGGGTTGCCACATAATGTCTGATATTCTATACAGCAGTAAATTTTTTCACAGATGAAGGAGAAACTTGAAGCAACAAAAATGGGCTTCTACACAAGAATGTTGAGAATACCATGGACAGAATAGATGAGAAATGTGGAAGTTTTAAGGAGAATAAGAACTTCAAAGGAAACTGATACTTACAATCACAATGAGACAACTGAAATAGTTAGGATGGATAAGGTTGGGAGATTTTAATACTCACAAGGCACATTGAAAATAAGTAGGTGGAAAAGTTTGAGTAAATGGATAGCAGAATAAAGACCAAAAAAAAACAAAGGAGTTCTAAATGCAGGAAGTTGTGGAGAGCCATGACCACCCAAGTAAATCTTATAAATATTCATACTGAGCAGAGTGAATTAACAATATAGTTTATAGGTATAAAGATAAATGAATTAAAGACAGATCAGAAAATTACAGGCAGGCATTTTAAGTTCGGCTTTTGGACTTTTTTGATTTTTTAACAATTTCAGATAAAGAGATTTCATGTCTGGATTTGAAAACTTTAAATCATTTAAATAACACAACAAATTACACAACACTTATTTCGACTGTGTTACTTAGAATGATTACATATAAGTCATATTGAACTGAATTTGTATTTTAATGAATTTTGTCTTGAAAATGGTTTATTAAAACCGAAACGTCTGACGTCGACAATTCTTTCATTTTAACTACATTTATGGATTTTTGTTTGTTTTTCAAAATTTCTACATATAAGTATGTGTATAAAATAGGATATAGAATCCTGACAAAGTTTTGAAGAAATGACAAATGGAAAAACATTTCATTGACTGTAGATTTGATTACTTGTTTACCCTTTCTAGGCTTCATCAGATCCAAAAATGAAATAAAGAAATTTGTGTATTTGTGTGTATGCTTAAATAATTTACATTCAACTCATTCTGAAGGATTTGATGAGGATTTAGCTTGGATTCATTTTACAAAAGGCTATATGAATCTCTTGCTTTCAAGCCATTCTGAAAATGCAAAAAAGCTGGGAAAAATATATTAACTTTTGACATGAACTAAGAATTATAAAGAAAAGATACAGAATAAATATTAATGTTTTTTTTAAAAGTCACTCATTTTCATTCCTTTCTTTCATCACAAGAAACGCCAGCTGAGCAGAAAAAGTACTAATGATTTATTATTCAAGCATATGCACAAATACACATAATTGGTTTTTTGTTTTTGGATCTGATGAAGCCTAGAAAGGTGAAACATGTAAATGAAGAACACATATAAGATATGCCAGTGGTGTGTAGAAGAAGTAGTCAACTGCTAGAAGTGAGGAAAGTGAATTCTACAATGAATTTCCAACTGCAGACCAACATACAGTATTTACTACTGTATTTATGTGAATGGGGACATAACCCATTATCGTCTGTAGGTATGCTACAACAGTAATCAAATCTAGTTTCAATTGAACAGTTTTCCATTTGTTAAATTTCTTCAAAATATAAGTATATGTAAATTTAAAAACAGTTTTAGTTTGCAATAATTGGCAGATAGCTATAAAATGGCATTGTTAATTATTTACGGCTAATTTGTTTAAATAATGCACTGACTATTGTTTATGTGATGTGACAATAATTGTAAATAAAAATGATGCACTAAAATAAGTAACCAAGTAATCATTTTAAGTTCTCTGAATATCAGCATCTTTAAATAATCAAGAAAGTCATTTGAGTGCCAAGGAGACAAGGCCTCCAAATGGTGAATTGTAGAAAAAAGAAAAGAAAAAAAAAACATTTCTAATCTGAATATGTGTTAGTGTCATGAAGAGCATCTGGCAGTAAAACATGCAGCATAAAATTCATTAGAACCTCTAAGCTTCACTGACCCGATCAGCAATTACTTCCTTAGCCCATGGATGCCACTGATGCTGAGTGAAGCCATTTTGTATCTCATAAGAGATACAAACACAATGAGAAAATACATTCACTACTGAGGAAAGAACATTTAGCTGAGAGGGAATTTGAGGGAGGGTCATTGAGAGTTTATCCAGCAGAGTAAATTGTGCAGGAAGTCAGAGGAAACCCAACAAATGGAAAACAAGACTGGAATGGCAGCCACAGAAATGGTGAGTCAGGAAGAATTGAAAATAAAAGAGATTGAAAGAAAATTGAATCTACATAAAAAACATGATGAGCATTCAAAGTTTTTTTTTTTTTTTTAAATTAAGCTAAGAGAAGAAAAGAAAAATGGAGCAGGAAGGTATTTCAAGTTAATTCTCTGCAGTGTGCTTTAGTGGAGACATCCATAGCGTAGAGAAAACAAAATTTATTAAGAGCTACAAAGGACAGAAAATTGTGGAGAGCCAATGTCCAAAATGGACATGGCACATAGAAGAATAACATTATACTTAAAAAATATGCCTACTGATTGGAATCAAAACTTTGTTTTGTTTTAAGCTGAGAAATTCCCTTTGTGCTTTTTTACTTTTAAACTAAAAGAAACCATTAAAAGTAAGGTTTAATTACATTTGTCTATGTGACCTTTGAAAATAAAAACAATGTCATTTTTAAGCATTTAATGAATTTAATCCAACAATATTTTCTTATTAATATAAACGTTATATTTAGTGGGTACATCTGTTTGTATAGATATCACTATTTTTTTCTTTTCTTTTTTAAAACAGTAAAATTAATTTTCTAGTGATCAAAAGTTTTATTAAATAAAATTTTTCTTCTTTACTGTAATAGCTTCCTGTAGCTTAATGGTAAAAGCACATCTGAATATTGTTTCTCAGATTAAAAATGGAATACAAGTTTGATTCACATTGGGAGGTACATTTTCTTCTAATGCAATCTGAAATTGCTTATGACAATAAATCTATATGAATAGAGCGCAGTGTATGTTTGTCTGTCCATCCGTCTTTCAATCTTGGTAAATCATAAACAACCTAAAGTAACAGGGAATAACTACTGTAGTTACACACAATTAAAATTTAAATAAGTAACTCATTTAAAGTTAAATTTAAATATTGAACAGAGTGAAAGATTTAAAAACAATTCTTTGTTAAAGGTTTAATTTTGCTTTTCTTCACAATTGCAATTGATATTGTCTAATTAAAGTGTAATTAAAACTTAAGTGAAGCACAGTATGTTGCTCATATTTTTTTTTCTTTATCTAGCACATGTACTGTGATGTATTAAAAATATTACATAGTTTGGGTCGCTAATGTCTTTTCAGAGTGACTTTAGGTGAAAGGGTCATAAAGAATGGTGATTTTAAAAGAAAATAAAAATAAATGTAACCAAACTACAGAGATCAGTTGCATATACAAAGAAAGATTATGCCAAATTAAGGCGTTGAATAAAGATAAAATAATTTTATTATTTCTAAATTCTTATAACTTTTACATACATAGAATGCTGAAGGTAAAAAGTTGAAGGCCCAAAAGCCCTCTGCATGAGCTAGCCTAGAAACTGCCCTTAAGTAATAAAAGATTTTTATTATTAACTGATTTATGCAATGTAAATTCCCACATCTTGATTCTAAAAACACAATGGGGATATAATTCCAAGGAAATCAGTCAATAATAATGATGATAGGTCTTTGTCTCGGAAATTCAGACAGGATCCATAAATTATTTGTGTATATTCAATATTTGTTTGGCAATAATTTGGAACCCAATTTTTATAGCAGTTAACATTTATTAAAAAAAAAAACCAAAAACCAAAAACCAAATAAAGCCTGGAAGACTTAGTCTGTGGACTTTGCTCATTTCCATAGCAACGCTTCATTCCACTTGTATATTGGAAAGGGATTAATCTAATCACCAAAGTGAATTTCATTTCTGACAAATGGAAATCAGCCTTGAAATGAAAGACACTAAAGTCTACCCCCACCCCTAAATGATTACAGATAATTACTGATTTTGATTCATACCCCACTGACTGCTATATGATGGTCATTTAATAAAAAGAGCTTTTTTTTAAAAAAAAAAAAAAAATTTAATCTTATTGCAAATCTCAAAATATGTTTAATCTTGCTCCAGCTTCCCTCAGGTGACCTCGAACAATTCTTAATCCTCAAGATCATTGAGCACAATGAAATATTTCTTTTTTATTTTTATTACTTTTTTAATCTATTATGAAAAATGTTTCAAGAAAATCTGCTGATATTAGATCCTAAGCAAAGATGCTCATAATAAAATAGGATTTTGATAGGAACAAGATCATCCTTTTTTAGCATTTTTACAAGTCAAATCAATGCGGAAGTCTACAATTTTGGTTACAATCTTGTGAAATTGAGCCTGTCCAAAGTGATTTTGTGTTTCTTTGTCCCTCCGATGGTGAAAACAGGAAAATGAAATTTAACAAAAACATAGCCTTACTTTGGCATGAAGCAGAGATAAAACAATGAAAGTGAAATGTTGATCTATCTTATGGCCAAGAGAGTTGTGTATTTCAAATTGATGCCAGAGATCAGTATTTAAACCTATTATAAGTCCCTGTTGAAGGTATTGCTCTAACAAATATTCATACTTGGTATAACATAATTTGTTAAGTATTCTCTATACATAATGCTTAGGTTATTTCTGTAACGCCTGTATAGTTAGTATGAAGACAGACTCCACTACGACTACTATGACCTCATACCATAAAACTCTTTATAGTATTGAATGACAAAATCAAAGAGAAAAAAATGAAACCAGGGTTTTAAATATTTTTTTTTTTTAATCATTTCATCACAAGCAAGGCAATAAAACCACTAAGACACAAGTGGTTACTAAGTGTTAAGGAATATAAGAAAAATTACTATTAAGGAGAGAAGACAATAAAGAATAAGAATTAATAAGACAAAAGACAACAAATGACATTGAATTTAAATTTTTGAAAATCAAAGTTGACTGGGAAGCAAGAAGCCAGTGAAAAGTGTGAGAGAAGAAACTTTTACTGTTGCATCTGGCCATTTCAGGTGTAAAATGATGAGACCTTGCTGCCAATCTAGTACTGTGCTTAAATTCATAAAGTCTAGGTATCGTAGAGCAAAGTTCATCAGAACAATTATCATGAAATTGTTTATAGAAAAGGCACAGGATAACTTTGTTATGTTGATGGAAAAGTGACTGAAGCTGAGATGCCATGTCAGGACCAATAACATTGCAGATTCTTTGGATTTTATCAAGAATCTCTAAATATATAACAGGAGCACTAGACAAGATGTGGCAGCAATATTCAAAGCAAGGACGAATGAATAAAATATTGGTTCTTGTCAACAGGCAAGTCCTCACCACTTGGAAGGTTGATGCAATACAATCTTCCTCAATCACCCAGACTTGTCTGATGCTATAATCAAAGATAAGAAAGTACTCCTTTTTTTTTTGTCAATAAAGTTTTTATTTTTATATTTTATTTTATTTTTTTTTTTTTTTTTTTTTAGATAAAAAGGAATTTTTTTCTGATTTATAAAAAAAAAATTTAATGAAATAAATCATTTATTGGGGTGTGGAGTTTAAAAATTAAGTCATTATTGAGGAGAATAAGAAACTAACTTTGTATGATGTAAAATTGGAATGTTTCTGAACTAGAAAAATCTAACACAATGTAGCCAGTAGATATATAATCCATATATTATTTAAATATTGCTACCACCTGTTTCAAAATTGTCCTTGCCAAACAGAAATGTCAGGAAGCTGTTATTTCTGACTAAGTGCATTGAGCCAGAGAATACTCTTTGCAGCAAGATGATGAATAATAGAGTTTTCTGCAAGTTTCCCCTAGTAAACACCATAACTGATCTAATAAGAGAGATGAATTATTTGCTGATGACCCACATGGAAGAGTCCACTAATTTCTTTCCATATTTTCTTGCCTTTTGTTGATTATTGGTCACCTTGAATGCGTATCATCTTGAACTGAAACTTGAGCGGCCTTGAAAGACAAGCCATTCAAAAACCTGTGTTCAACTGAGAAACTTTTTACCAAAAGCCTAATGACCCATTTTGTGGCTATCAGTACTAGATTTGATGTGCTTTATGCAATTTAATGTCAACATATTTCTTGAATTTATCAATCATTGTAAAGTTTGCAGAAGAATTCCAACACATCAGAAAATCTTGTATAATAACTGAACACCAGAATATTGGCAGACTGACTCAATAAACTAGGTGCCAATGAGTAGTAGTGTGTGCATTTTTGTAGATTAGTATGATCGATGCATGTACAGTCTGGGAATTTGCCAATATTAGAGTTTTCTTCCATTTCTTAAAACCAGTTATTTTACAGAGAAATAATCATAATGGCATATATAAATGACTGAAACTACCTTTTTATAAAAAGAGTTGTTACCCTTGAGCAAACCTTAAACACTGATCATGAGGACAGGTTGATTTTGAAACTGTGGTATTGCACTTGATTTGAAGTTAGGGGTTTTGACATCATAAGTCAAAATATTTTTTTTCCAAATCCTAACTGTTTTTTGAGCAGATGAAATTAAAGATTAAGTTCAGGTTCAAAATTGTAGGCATTGGAATTTGATTCTAGTGATCAGTGGAAGCCTTATAGCATAGTCCTACAAAATTTATGGTTTTCTGAAGCTTTACAAATTGTATATGGATAATTTGCATGGCACAAGCACATTACTACTAAAACATTGTGCCATCAAATAAGACCTTCATTTACTAGCTCGGTGATTGGTCAATTCCGACCAATCAGATTGCCTGCACGTGATGAATGATATTTCCCGCATTTTCGCTCGGAGCCGATCACGTGCTACCCAGCCTTATATAAATAAAACACAAATAAGCTCCCTCGTGTTTTCTCTTCATTCATTTTTCTCCTTGCTGCCAAGATGTAATCTTCAAGAGCTCCCGTCTTAACCACACAGTCAGACGTTAAAGAACATTGCCAACACTCACGCAAGTACGAGCAGTCAGAATTTGATCCTGGAGAAATGCCAAACTAATCCACATCAGTCAAAAAATCTTAACCAACTACACTTTTCCCGCGCAAACTTCTGACTCAACAAACAGCATTTCGCTCTACCAGGAACAATTGCTTATGATACTAAAGAAAGTGAAATAACACACTACAATTATAAGTATTCGTAAACATTCAATCAAACACCAAAACAACTAAAATGGTACACAACTCATACTAGCCTTGGACAATAATTTAAACAAGCATACACATACACACTATTGACTGAATTACCACAAAAGACATTTTTATACATGACCAAATACTTAGTTTAATTTCACAAACAAACCTTAGTAACAGTTTCACACACTGAAACTTGGCATAAATACACTACATAATTCAACTCAACCATTCCCACTTGTTCAACAATCTTTGATTCAATTGTGTATTTTTATTCTATACAAATCAATGTTATTGTTAAAACTTTAACTATGTTGTTTTCACTTTGATTTCTTTTGAATAATTTGCCTTCAATATTTATCTTTCTTAATTTGTTATGGATGAATGTCTAAGAACACCAACATCACTACCCCTTTCGATAAAATAACCTTCTGATACATTGAAATACATTTTCCAGTCTGCAATACACTTTTATCTAATTTTTGTTTTTATTAATTATGATCTAACAAATCATATTCATTGAGTAGCGTTTTTTGTATTCTTTAAATTTTTTTTTTACAGTTTTTACTTACCAAATACAGTAAAATAAATTGTATATTTTGCTTGTGATTCATGATTAGAATTCTGGTTTGAATATATTTTCCATTCAATGTATCTGATACAAAAGATATCAACTTTATTTGGATTTATTTTTGAAATAGTAAAATTTTAAAGTCAGTTTATAAGCAAAAACCTGTGGAAATTAAGTATTTCTTTATATTTTTTCCAGATGGTTTTTAAAACTGAATGCTCAAAAATTGGTGTCAGTACTTATTACATCAAAACCCAACTTTCACATATGATACAATGTTGATTTTTCTGAAAAAAGTGAAAAAAATCAACCTGCTCTACTGATCTCAGAGACAAGAAATTAAGCAAAAAAAACAAAAAAAAAACAAACAAAAAAAAAAAAAACCAACTCTTCTTGATATTATTAATATTTAAGAAACAAACTTGATTGAAAAGAGTTTCATCAAAATTAATTTCTTACCTCATATCTGGAGAGAAATCTGTAGTACATGCATATCCAGCCACCTGAAAAAGAAAAGAAATTCAAAATCTGTCTTTAAGATCTTAATACTCAGAGAGCAAAGTCAAAAAAAAAAAAAAAAAAAATCTGTTATTTTTTGTCTTCCACAACTATGATTTTTTTTTACTGTACAAATCCCAGGAGCCATTCAAGGTAGAGGGTTACAGTAAGGAACAGTTTATGTGGATAGGAAGGGAAGATAACAGTTAATCCTAGACTTGAACAAGTTAAGATTGTAGTGGTCAGGGCAACATCCAGAGCAGTGGTTAGTGGGAAGAAGCTGTTTGAGTGGCACCCACAGTGCCTCTATATTCTATTGGCTTTCACCAATGGAATATAGAAGCAATATGGGTAGCATGGTGGTGAAGGTTCTAGCTGGCAGAACCAAGGAATGCAGTTTGTCTGAGTACTTTCCATGGAAGTAGCAATACAGCAGTGAGAGACTTGCCATATCCTGACTGTAAGAGAGAGATTGGAGGGTGGAAAACAATTAGTCAACTATAACAATGCTTTTAGACTACTGAGACTGGAAAGTGATGACTGGGCAGCTCTCATTCAAATATGACAACGGTACTCCATTTGGTCTGGCTCTTGTAAAGGATAGCATGTGGAATCAGGTACTTACTAGAGCAGTACGCAGAATTGACAATCATTTGTACTAAGATGAAGCTATTTCTCATTTGTGTACCACTGACTTGAAATACTTGTGTCATGAGCACAAATTTGAAGCAAAGAGAAGAATTACAGATTGGGGAGGGTATTTTCTGTTGTTACAATGATATAAAATTATCATTTTTTAAAAAAAAAAAAAAATAAATAAATATAAAAAAAATATTTTTTCGTAAAACTGATGCTTAACTATCCAAAGAGTTTGTTTTTGTCATCAAATGGAATTTAGAGAATTTAGTTTTCACTGAATCCATGTCTTATTAGTAGGTAATTTTCAAAACAATTTCTTGCATTTTTATTTATTGATTCTGACACTGTAAATGGAAGAACACAAGAAAAATCTTCAACATATTACAATTTTTATTTTAAGAAAGGTAAAAATGCAAAAAAATCAATTTGTACAGTTAATGGAAAAGGTACTATGAATGTTCAAATGTATCAAAAATGGTTAGTGAAGATACCCCATTGGACAATGCAGTATGGTTGGCTCCACCAGTTCAGGTTGGTAATTCTCAAATTGAGACATTTCTTGACAATGATAAATATTATATAACATGAATGATAACCAACATACTTAAAGACAAAAAAAATAATCAACCCTATTTCTATGTGTAATTAAAATCTAACAAATGCTCTATTTTTTAAGCAAATTGTAACAGCTAATGTACACAAAAATAAACAGAGGATGTATTTCTTTTACCAGTTTTATTTAACATGTTATATGATCCAAAGAGAATGAGAAGACCTACCAGCACTTATCAAGACAAAATCTTAGCAACATCAGATATGCAGATGACACTATGTTAATGAGAGAATCAAAAGAAAAACTGTAAAGAGTCTGAGACAAAGTAGTAAAGGAAAGCAAGAAGAAAAGACTTAACTCTAAGACAGAATGTATAGTTGTTAGTAAAAGAGACAACCTAATGTGCGAATTACATATTGGAGATGTCAGAGTCAAGCAAGTACAGAAAGTTAACTATCTATGTAATGTAACAGATGAAAAAAAATGTGACAGAAATCCAAAGGTGCATTGAAATAGCAAAAAATTCTGTCCAGAAACTAAGCAAAGTATTAAGATATAGAATTTTTTGTTAGAAACCAAGAAAAGAGTATTGAACTGCTATGTAATATCTTATTCCTTATACAGAAGTGAATGCTGGACAATTTCCTTACAGATAAAAAAGAAACTTAAAGCAACAAATATGGTTCTACAGAAAGTAAAAAGAGGGAGAGAGATAAAAGAACCAACAAATATATATGTGTTATAGGTCATTGTCATGCATAAAAAAAAATAAAATCAACTTTCTGAAAGCATTTAGTTTCTTCTTGAACTATGTCTCCATGTGTGCCTTCATAAATAAATTCAATGTATGTATATATATATATCCAAGAGGACCTCCGTTCTTCAAGATTGGTGGTAGTTTGGGGTCAGATTGGAGATGATGGAATGTAACGAGCTTGTTCTTCAAGGCACAGAATTTAACCAACCAGTTTTTACACCACTGTATTTTAATTATAATTTAACCTATTATTTAGCTTATATTTTTATAAGATATTTTTATCATTTTTATTTTATAGGATATTTAAATTGTTGTACTTGTTTCCTGATGATATCCTTGAGTGATGAGACAAATTTTATAAAGATCCTTATCATTTATATGATTTAGTAGCACTTCCTATTGTTATAGGATATTTTTATTATTTAATCAAATTAAATATAATTATATTAAACATAATTATTAAACATTATTACATTAATTATAATTATATAATAATTTTAAGGCATTTTTATGTTTATACATTCTTTGTAAATGCTCTGTTTATAATAAACAGTATTAACAACATTTACTGGCCTGAATGTTGGAGAAATTTTCATAGAAAATATGCGTCCTCCGACAGGAATCGAACCTGTATCCTATACAGAACTGTCATATAGCCTGATGTGCTTTTACCGATTGAGCTACAGGGGAGCGTTTCAGTTAGCAAGGTTGATTTTACTGTTTTTTTAACTACAATTCTCCATTCATAAAAAAATCTTGAAATAATTGTCGGACTTTGACCATTTCATAATGTGTGATGTCATTTGTTTACATTTGGATACATATTGAGCAGATGTGAACGTATAAACATAAAAAAATGTCTTAAAATAATTGTCGAATTTTGTCCATTTCATAATGTATAGTTATATAAATATAATTAAATATAATTGTAATTATTTAATTATAATTTAACCCATATTTTTATAGGATATTTTTATTATTTTTTTATTTTATAGGATATCTAAATTGTTGTACTTGTTTGTTCCTGTCTATACAAAGATGATATACTTGAGTGCTGAGACAAATTTTATAAAGATCCTTATCATTTTGATGATTCAGTAGCACTCCAATTGACAATTCGACAACAGATCCAAGACTTTTCATATTGAAGTTGATTCTGCTACAAAAACTCAAATAAATTGTAAGAACCCAGGATTAGACAATAATTCAAGGATGTTGGGAAGCCACTTATAAATACTTTATCCCACCTTTTCAACTGCATACTTATCAGAAGCCTTGTACGTCAGGCTTTTAAGGAAATTCTTATAGGATAGTTGTCCTTAATGTGCTATCAATCAATTAGCCTGTTGAGCCATGTCAATAAACTTTTCTAAATATCATAATGACAAACTTTTATGCCTCTTTTGCAGAATATGAAGTTGTCTATCAACCAAGCAGGCAGACTATATTTTATTTTTGAACAAATTATTGAAAAGTCCAGTGTACAAATCTTGATTCCCCTGAAGCAGTTGTATCAAACTTGTACACTTATGAAACCTTCTTGATGAAAACAAAGCTTGATAAGAAATAGATAAATATTTTGAATTCAATTCATGATGACACTACAGCAGTTATAAAGAGAGCCATTAGAATGTTTCATTGGAAAGTAGATATTCTCAAAGGTGTAAAACAAAAAGGTAATATCTTCTCGGCTTTATTATTTTACAATGTTATTACTTCAATCATTTTGAAAACAAAGTAATTTTAACTTTTTTGTTGGTGGTGATCTTTCAAACTCAAGCTATGCTGATGATAAATACTGCTATAAGCAGATCAAACACCAGAAATTTTAAAATTAAAGAATTTAATATCTAAATTTAAAAAATCTTCAGTATTACCCCTTTATGTATAATTATAACCAACCTTTACATTTATGTCTCTCCCTCCTCCTCTATTATATATATATATATATATATATATATATATATATATATATAGAGATATAAAAAACAAAGAATCACCTTTCAGGTGTACACAGTCTGACCAACTACTATAAGTTTCCTGCCTTTAAACAATCATCAGGTGGTCAGCAGGTGTAATGTGAAAATGGGAGCCTTTCTACTCCAAGGAAAGACTAAGATGAAAAAAAAATGGATGGTGTTCACGCACCATGCATTAGCCAACCAGTCTCACCTGGAGTAGTGGTGGTGGTGGTGGGGAGGAAAACACCCATCAAAATAAATCAAATAGATCAAAATAAAAGCATAAACACACAATTATACCCCTCCTATGTAAAAAAGAAAAAAAAAATTTTGCCGATATGAAATTCTATTAATAAGGACATTACATAAGTTCAATGAAGTCCTTTTAGAGAATGAATCTTGTTACATAGAATTTCTTCCACTTTATCATTCATTTCAAGATTTTTCAGATTTAAGTTAAATTGAAATGCTAAACAATAGAAATCAATCAAATGACTGGTTTGGTTTTCATCTAATGGCATTAAATAACAAGCCATTTGGTAAGGACTATTATAAGTACACAAAGGAAGTAAAAAAAAAAAAAAGAAGATTAATTCTCATCTTGAAAGATGTTTTGGTGTGTATGTGTGTGTGTGGTGGGGTAATGAACAATGGGACTAGTCTTGTTAGCCATTACTATTTAGTAGCAAGTTCAATCTTCATCCATCACCCCCATGTAAAATTAGTCATTAAGTGACCCCACAAGGGCTGACATGTTGCTATATACTACAATAGTGTTTGAAGTAATAAAAAATGTTGCTATATATATATATATATATATATATATATATATATATATATATATATATATATATATATAAAACTTTTGTAATGCTCGAGAAGCTTGTAAAGAAGAAGTTTTATGTAAAACCATTAGTGTTGAAATGGTATTTGTTTTGGATTTAGTGAAATATCATTTGACTAACAACAATCTGATTGACCTTCAACAAATTAAAATGACAAAAAAAAAACCTTGAAAATGTTTGCCCCCACAGTCAGTGAGGACTACTCTTGGATGACTGTCAAAATATCTTAAGTGATTGGCTTGTTTTCACGTCAGCAAATGTGAAAAGGATATTAAAAAAAAATGAAATTTGTGCCTTGTTTGTTTGAAAAAGATTAAAAATAAACAAATTATTTGAATAATGTGTGCCATGATTTGAGGGATCAGTTTATTTTTCAAGTGATGACAAAGGAGTTTCTTTTGGGTGCCTACTTTGTGGAAAGAGTCAATGGTGGATGTAAGGATTTATGTACATCTGAGATGTAGACAAGTCCCAAAGTGATGCTTATAATGAAAAATAGCTAGTTAATTATAGGTGGATTCATCTACACTGCAATTTCTTTTCTCTTTCATCTGTGTTCACATGTATGTCTTTACAGCCATCCTATGTTACAAGCTTATGCCTAACTAATTTCCTTTTCTCCTCAACCCCAAATCACTTCCTTTATTCAGAATCAAAAGAGAAAACTAATAGCATAATTAAAAACTTATCAAATCCCAAACTCATTTCACAAACATTATTTGCAAGAATTATCTGATGTTGTTCTATTTTTAACCTGTAAAAACAGGTGTGCATAGGGGAGGATCATTCTATTAAGTTTCACTAGCCAAGTCTCTGATTAAGCAGTTATCAGATGTTCATTCCATTTAAACATTCAATTTTCTGCAATACAAGAGGGTGCTGAAAAGTTATTGACCTGATCTATTTTCCAAAATCTGACCCAACAAAGAAAATTTGTTTTTTAAGGGTTCTTGAAAGTCAGAACATTAAAAACTTACATATTCTTAAGTAGCCTTACCAGATCAAGACTTTGATATAGATGTCATGCCTGGTGCTAAATCTGTCCAGAAATATCTAAACTGTCAGCTGTATAGAATCACTTTCTCAGATCGATGGCTAAAAATGGTTTTGAGTGAATGAAGCATGTTGGTCTTAGTAAGGACCACACTTCTTTGAACTTTATGGACTAGTGCTACAAAATTACAAAGGACTGTGCCAAATTATAACAGAAACCACATGTAAACTTCCAACAGCAGAAATAACTAAAATGCATAGCACATGAAACTTGAAGAGAAAATAATGACATAATCAAGATGTTGAAGTTCCATATCACTTCAAACTAAAGGTTAAGAAAGAACAACAGTTAATGGACTTAAGAAAACTATTTTTATAGAAATATTTTATAAATTTTATCCAAAAGTAACACAGTCTGCTCATTCAATGAACACTGAATGTTTCTTTATAAGGAAACTTAACATTACCATCATAAATCATCTTGAAAAGACTGAAGAATTTGTTTGTTTAATGACATATCAACTTCTTCTGAGTCATTTAATAGCAAAATTTAATTTTCATGGGAGCATTAGTAATTTCTTTTATAAAAATATATTGCTGGTATTTTTACTATAAAAACTTTTATCCTTTCATAGTATTTTAACCCCAGTCTAGTTGGACGTGGAAATGACAGCAATTAAGAGGTGGTTCCACGCCAGATGTAGTTTATCATCATACTAGGGACAGGACTGAAGAATAACTCTCAACACCAGTGGTAGCAACAACAAGAAAAAGAATGAATAAACATTTGAATATATTACCATATGTCCAGTAAAGGTTTTCTTCTTCATGAATTTAAATCTGTTCAGAACGTTGAAGATACAAATCTTGTTGTCCATGGATTGACATGCAAGCCATTTACCTTTTGTTGGTACCGAAAGAAAGAAAAAAAAAGAAAAAGAAAATTTAGCATATATTAAATAAATATCTGATATCTGAGTTCTTCTCCTCAGCTTGTCTCCTTGCAAACAAATGTAACAAGATTAAGAACATTAAAAAATATATATTTTCACTCATCCATTCAAGCAGGGCCAATGCAAGGGTCTTGTGTCCACACCTCCATTTATGATACGGGCTTTATACTCTATTATATCTCAATTTTCATAAGGTAGTATTTCATATAAAATACAAATTTTATTGTAACTTAATTATGTACAACAATGGATCATATGCAATATAAGTGAAAAATTCAACTAGAAAAATTGGAAATAAATACAATGTATCTAAATACAAATTAGAGACATGTCATAATAGATCATTCCATCTTAAATAAATCAACAAGGTTTTGCAGCAATTTTTAACGTCAACTGGATATTTTTTTTGTTAAAAAGTTGAATAATTTAACACATTCAACATTATGGATAAAAAATAGCAAATTTTATATAGTACTAGCAGTAGAGCCCGGCGTTGCCCGGGAATGTAACAGTAAGAGATAGATCCAGTATCAACCATCATAAAGACTGAAAAATAAAATTGACAAAGATTATTGTTTAAGGTTGATGGACATGCATGTCTTAATTAGTTTTTTTTTTTGTTTTTTTTTTACGAATTGGTCAAACTCAAACAAAAACATTGTTTTCAATCATTATGAGTCTACCGATTGAATAGAATTTTATTATAAACAATTGTCTTGTAAATGGAATTTTTAAAGCATCTGAATTTAAAAATAAAGAAAAAGTGTGCAAGACAATAAGAAACACTACCTGCCAAAAAAAAAGTTAAGTTTTGTTGAAATCGGCTGAAAAATGTAGGAAATCCGATCCCATATATAAACGAACACACGCACACACACAAACAAACAAACAACCTGGGTTTTATAATAAGTATAACTCGATATGAGTTGTCCCCCTTTCATTCTTGCGATGCCTCTTAATCATGTTTTCAAATTGATTTCATGCAAAAGAAAAAAAAAATGTGTTTTTCCAATTTTTGCCACTGTCAGAACCACTGCAAGGTAATTTTACGTAGTCCTCTGAAGTTTTGTTGAAATCGGTTGAAAAATGTAGGAAATCCGATCCAATATATAAACGTACAGACACACACACACACACACAACCTGGGTTTTATAATAAGTATGATTTTTTAAACTTAGCTTGAGCAAAACAGATTCACAGATTTGAATGGAAAAAAAAAATGATGTCAAAATCCGTAAAATTTTTTCATCCATTAATAGTCAGTTATGTTTAGTTTAATTTGTAATGTATATAAATGTAGGCATAAAAAAAAACAAATGTTGATAAGATAGTGATGGTCACAAAACCTGACCCTGGCTGATGTTGGAGCACATTTTGATTTGAGTTTGTAGATTTAAAAAAAATGATGAGACCTAGCTGCAAATCTAGTACTTCTCTTAAATTCATGAAGTCAAGGTACCAAAGAGGAAAGTTCAATAGAACAATTACTATGAAAATATTTATAGAAAAGGCAAAAGGAAGCTTTGTTACTGTGACACTATTTAGTTATGGTAATTGGCTAATTAATCATAGAAATTAAAACAAGAAAATACTGAGAATGGAAAAGAAGATACCCCAAAAGTTTTAACTTTTTTTTTTTTTTTTTTTACTTAAGAATAAAATTGAGTATTCTCTCAAAGACCCGTAAACTGGCGTAGACAGCAGATTTACAGAAAAGCCTTATGCAAACTTTTTGACAATTGCTTAATGTTTGTAAAAAAATGTTTGCCGAGAGAACACAAGATTCGAAAAAAAGCAAAGTGTTGAGATATCAGACAGGCCATATGGTGATCTTAAAAATTTCAGCATGAGATGATTTGCCGATACAGAGTAAAGAGAGTCAATATTAACTGTCTTCCCAAGATACTATTTTTCTTGAGTGCCAGTAGGGCAGGGCCATATGGCAACATGTGATTCGTAAAAATTTTGGCATGAGAAATATTTATTTCGATATGGAGTAGAGAGAATTGTTATTATTTACTTTTCCAAAGTGTCGTCTTCAGGCGCCGACACGTTGAGCAGCAATATGGTGATTATAAAATTTTGGGCATGAGAAAAGATATCATGGAAGAGTCATGATTTGGGAGATAAGAAATTTAATTTCTCAAGAAGCCAAGGGTTCCAGTAAAAGCTAACTTCATGAAGGGACTAGATGGCAGACTTTGACAAGTGATTGATTGTAAAGGGTGCTGGTTAAGAAGACTCTGAGTGACCAAAAGATCTGAGAGATTTTAAGTGGCAATGTGTGATTCATAAAAACTTTGGCCGATGGGAAGAAAAAAAAAAAGAGGAATTTTATAAACAGAAATTCTGGGTTATAATTTTAAGGAGGCCAGCTTAGCCACACCCACATGGCTGGGATGCCATTGGTCAAGTGGTAGCAATGGTGATAGGTAGAGGTAATTTGATGAGAAGGACAGGGAAGTTATTAAAGTCCATTGAAGGGATTGGTATGAGGTGTCATTGTGAGAGAGGGAGAGTTTAGGAGGAAAGCTCTCCTTCAACCTCTCTTCATGGATGAAGAGATCCCCGCAAAATGGAAAGTGATTAATTTTCTAAAAATGGGAAGTAATCAATTTTCCTGGCCAGACAACAAAGATTTCTTGTCAGAAATCACGATTTACCGAAAATCCAAGACTGTGTCTAACCACACACTTGTTTTTGGTTGGTACCCATATAAATGAATGTCCTTGGTCTGTTCGACAGTTAGAGTAGTCAGAGTTTGAGTCAGTAAGTTTGAGTAGCAGGAACCAGAGTGTAACCTCGCAGAAGCAGACTGAGAGATTCCATGACCTCCGACTTTGCCTATCCTACCAATAGCAAGTTATACTGATGAATGAAGCCAAGCCAGCACCTAAAAACTAAACCAGTTGACTTAGGATACCAGAACTTGCTTAAGAAACGTAGAAGTATCACACTCCATAGAAAACGGGCTGAGAGAAAAACACACTCCTGCATATGACAGACGGATAAAGTTAATTTGTTATTTTTCAACATACTTGAACCTCTTGGGTTTTTATTTGCTTCTTTTTTCTTTACGCTTGTGTGATATCACCTCCAGTCTAGACTCATCTTACACTACAGCCCGACACCTGATTGATCTTGTCTACCCAAGATCAAAATCACAATGTGGGTAGGTTAGACTTGAGATCAAAGCAGTTACTTTGATAACCAGACAGAAGTGAACTGGGAATGACGGAGCTGGTGTCGAACTGGTTGCAGCTGGTGGGAAGCTGTTAGCGTCGACCGGCCATCCCACTTGGTACCCTGACCAAAGATTCCGCTGGCTAGCGACAACCAGGATTTGATCCTGGATGGGCCAGTGTCACATATTGGTACCCTGGTGGAAGAAACATTACAATTTCACACTGCGACTTGGAGTTGACCACGGGCCGACAGCTCAGTGTCACATTACAGCAGTGGGAATGTGACTGAAGCCAAGATGTCAGGTCAAGTCTGATAACATTGCAGATTCTCTGGATTTTGTCAAGAATCTCTAGATATAAAACAGAAGCACCAGATGAGATGTGGCAGAAATATTCAATGCTTGGACAAATGGTAGAGTTATTAAGTGTGCAAGATAGATTGACAGGGAAAAATTGTCTAGCCCAATATGGTGAACTGACTTTTCTAGCAGCAGACTTTCTGTTTCTCAGTAAATACTTACCGTTGGGTGATAAGGTAACTGCAGGCATCGAATGCATTGATGGATCAGCGATGTACTTAAAGTCAACTGGAACATCCCTGCAAGCAGAAAAAGAAAATACAACAGAGTTAATGGTATGGATTTTAGTAACAAGGGAATCTTTATATGTGGATAGTTGGGAACTGGCATGAGAGATTGATGTAAAAAGCCTAAATAACCAAGATTTTAGTAGTATATTAATAGTGCTGTGAGGTCTCTTTTTTTTTTTTTTTTTTAGTGGGCTCTTGGAGAAATGAGAATCTTTTAATTCTAATAAATTGAATTTCTATCTGGAATTGTTCCCTGCATATGTTATATTACTGTTGAGGCACCTCGAAGTGGTGTAATGGTTAGCAAGCTTGTCTCGCTAGAACAATTACATCTGGGTAGTGAGTTTGATCGTCACTGGGTGCCCCATACTTTCGGCCCTGTGCCACATCTAAGCTACGCTTGGAAAATAACTACACCATCTTGGGCACCTTGAGGCGGTGTAATGGTTAGCAAGCTTGGTTCACTAGAACAATTACGACTGAGTAGTGAGTTCGATCCTCACTGGGTACCCCCTAATTTCGGCCTTGTGCCACATTTAAGCTACGCTTGGAAAATCACTATGTTATATTACTGTTGAGATCTACAAGATATGGGATAGTTGTTTGATGTGATTAAGCTTAGATAGGGTTTGTATAAGGCTTTTTTGTGGAAACTGTATTTGTTGAGTATACCTAAATTCCTATTTAAACCTAGGATGTGTGAATTTACAACCCAACTAGACCAAAAGTACTAGATCCCATCAGTAATATATCATATGCAGAAAAAAAAAATAAATAAAAAAAAGACTTCCCCCAGAAAAGTCCTATTTTATTTTTTTTTCTCAATGAGAAAGGACGTATATGTATCTGAAAGTTTTGATCTTTAATGTCTTTCTCATCATGCTTCTATTTGTTCAAAAAGCCTACTTGAGTAGCAGTCTGAACTCTTTCTGAGTAGTGACACTGGGAAGTATATCTGCTCTATCTTGGTAACATCGGCATAGAGTACTGTCTATTACTGTTTAGGGAGATGTCTGTCTTTTGGTCTTGGTTTGTTTCCTTTTCCCCTTCTATCTGTTTTTCTATTTCTTCTAGTTTTTTTCTTTGGTAATCTGACAGTCTATGGGGTTTGGTTTGTTTTATGGCATATCAACCTCAATGAGTTATTTAATGCCAACAACATTTTTATTGCTGGTAATATTTTTTTCAAAAAATGTATAGCAGGTAATATTTTCTTTTTCAAAAATGTATAGGTGGTGATAATTTTTTAAAAAAGTATTTCTGGTATTAAAACCTATGCTTATGTTTCATAGTGTTTTAACCCCAGTGTAGGGGTTAACTATTTGCTCATAGCTGGGACCCTAACAGGTGCTACCACCCTGGGTCAGGCTGGACCTGGGAACATCAGCAATTAAGAGGTGGTTCCATGCTCCTCAAAACCTCCTGATCAGAAGCCTTGCTGTTGGATGTAGCTCATCATTTTACCCAGGACGTGGCAGTCTATGTTTACCAATACATTAGGCGTGTGTGTGTGTGTGTCTGTTTGTTTAGCAGTTTATGGGTCATTTAATGCTGAAATTCAATTTTCTTGGGAACAGTAGTAATTTTTTTTTTTTTTTTTTAAATGTACTGCTGGTATTCTTACTATAATTTTTTTTATACTTTCATGATGTTTTGATTTCAGTTTGAAGGCTAACTATATACCTGTAGCTGGGACCCTAACAGGTGGCATCACCTTGAGTCAGCGTGGACCTGGGAGCAACATCTATTAAGAGGTGATTCCATGCTCCTCAAAACCTCCCAATCAGAGGCCTTGTTGAAGTCATATCCAAGACTTGTGTGTGTGTGTGTGTGTGTATCATCATTCGACCGTAATCAGAATCATTGAGCCAATGCGAATGATTCTTTCTTTTTCTGTATAGTATGTGTTACACCAGAGTTACATACAATTTTGAATTCAGAGATACTTTCACCTAGACCGGCTTCCACCCAAGGATATAAAACCCAGTCTGTCCTGCTATTTAGCCATAGCTTGGGGGAGAAGAGGAGGATTCATACCTTTCCCAAGGGTATCAGCACATAAACTGCTATCCATTACTCCACCATGCCTCCATGATGATACATATTAGACGATTATTATGGTGAATATTAGACACATTATAGAGGGAAATTTTCAGATCAAAATTCAGCTAATAATTCTGTACAGACTACATATAAATTGGTCCACTTTCACTTCTTGCAGTCTGTTCCAGTGTCTTGACAAAACTTCCTATCATGTCATGAAGAATGGGTGAGAGAGCATTTGGGTAAATCACTATCTCAGGCTGCAGCAAAAGGCTGTTACATGCATTGTTAACCTTGACAAAGGCCAAATGATATATATATATTTCACATGATCCTGAATCCTGTGACCAATCAGGGTCATAGGGGCACCACATGTAATGCAGTAGAAGTAGTGTTTCTTGGGCAAGATAACCTGACGGAGCCCAACCCTCTCCAGGCCAGTTTTGAATTCAGAGTTATCCTTCTCCTACATCAGTTGCCACCAAAGGCTAGAGAACCCAGTTTGTCCTGCTATTTATCCAGAGCTGAGGTATGTGTGGAGAAGTGGCTTCATACCTTTGCCAAGGGTATTAGCATATAAGTGAATGTAATGGATTAGACAGGAATTCCAAGCAGCTCTCCGATTCCACAATCAGAGATACTATCCATTACGCCACCATGCCTCCTCATTATATATATATATATATATATATATATATATATATATATATATTTCTGTGTGTGTTTGTAAAGAAATATACTTTACAGTATCCTATAGTTATGGGATAAAGTGCTCAATAGTAGAGATAGAGTGTATGTAAATATAAAAGTGAACATTGAAGTCAACACTCAGAGGTGACAGACTGTTTCATGCTAAATGCAATCATCAGGCCACCATATATATATATATATATATATATATATATATATATGTGTGCATGTGTGTGTATATAAAAATTTTTCTGTTCAGATTTTGGGCTTTGTATGGGATTTGGTAGCTGGGTTTCTAATTTTCAATTTCTGTTTCTACTTTCAGAGATCTGACCTTTAAACTCTGCCTGATCCCTACACGTCATGACTGCAGTCCTTAAATTCCTTTTTCCTTCTGCTTCTGTAATTATAATTCTAACATCTGTCTGCTCTTTGCCAAGAAATATAAATCTCGGAGGTGATATCTTTGGAATTTCCATTCTTTGCTATTACCTCTCTTCTCTCAACATTTTGGCAGACTCAAAACTTCTGAGACTAAAATTCTCTGGTAATTTCAATTCCTGTTTCAAAATTTAACCAAACCTTTTTCTTAGAATCGCTTAAAAAAATGCAAATGAAAGCTAACTCATAATGTATTCGATTCAATAAAGATGACCTGAAAAAATGAGTTAAGATATTTTCTGTTTTCAATAATTATCAATTGTATTCTTGTCAGAGGTCAATGTAAAAAGTGAAAAAAGAGGAATCCATGTCTTTTCTCCCCCAGTTATAGAGTTAAATAGTAGGGTAGACTGAATTTTCTGTCCTTGTTTGGTAACAGGTTTAGAATGAAAAAAAAAAAAAAACAATAACTTTACCCTTTCAACTCCACAGGATAGTCTGATGGAACTATGGTTTGGTTTAATTAATGGCATATCAACTCCTTATGGGTCATTTAATACTGAAATTTAATTTTTTGGAGAGCTTAGGTAATTTTATTTTTTTCAAAAATATATTGATTGTAATTTTTGTCTTCCTTTTCCAATAATGTACTTCAGCTAATATTTTTATGGTGAAAATCTGATAATATTCTGACTACAAAAATGCATTATCATAATGTTTTGACACCAGTTTGAGGGGTTCACTATTTGCTCATAGCTGGGACCCTAACTGGTGCTACCACCCTTGGTCAGGGTGGACCAGGGAATAACAGCAATTAAGAGGTGGTTCCACGCCTTCCCCAAAACCTCCCAATCAGATGCCTTGCTGCCAGATGTAGTTTATTGTCAGAGTAGGAATGTAAAATTATGTAAAGTTATTTAAATAACATTGTTAAATTAGTTAAATTTTCACCTCAATTTCTTCAAAAATAATTTTCCAGTATTGTGCTCATGTTAATTTAGCAAACACACTAAAATATTCCCTCTTTTAAAAATTAAAATTGATATCAACTTTTTTTTTAACATATAAACATTGTTTTATCTGCCAACTATGATTCATAAAAAAAAAAAAAAAAAAATGATAAAATGTTTTTAAAATAAAATATTTTATTTGGATCAAGTGTTCCTTTTAAAATCATCCATGCATAGAAATAACTTCAGAATATTCCAGCTTACAGCCACATCATGTTCAAACACTGGTTCCTGTACAATCACTGAAGCAATATTTAGCTTAGTCAGTATCTAGATAAGTAACTGCTTGGGAATACCAGGAGGTGTAATCTTGGATGTGTGGGTGGTGTAATGGATTATGGCTTGGTATTCTTAATCAGAGAGCACAGTTCCAATTCCTGTTGGGTTCGTTATATTCACTTATGTGCAAATACCCTTGGGAAATGTATGAATCCACATCATCTCCCTCCAGCTATGGGTTAATTATTAAGAATTGTATCACTAAACCATAATTATATCTAAAAAAATTTCTTACAATATAAAAATATTTTCTGGCTTTAAATAACCTACAAAGGGTTAATAAGCTGTAAAAAATGAGAAAATCAATCATTCAGAATATACCAAATTTAAATCTCATGGTTATATCTCATTCAACCAATACATTATTGTTTTGAAATTAGAAAGATACAAATAAATTTTTTGCAAATCCATTTTAAGGAAATTCAGAGACAAAATTTTTTACTTATTTGAATCTATGTTTGATAGAAAAACTTTTCACTAAGATAAACAGTATATTTGAAGACAGTACATAAATTAATAGTTGAGCTCTTTGCCATGTGAAAACATTGGAGTGGGGAGAAGAAATAAAAGTACAACTGAAAAAACAACCATGGCAGAATGGTAGAGAGATGCCCGTCTTATATTTGGCCTCAGTGATATTTTTTATCTGGGTCAAAAATCGCTCTGCATTTAGTTGGGAACAAATCTGTATAATTGTACACATGTTTCTAACCATAATGGTAGAGTCTTTTGCGAAGCTAATTAAAGAAATTTTTTTTGTTTAAATTGATACTTTTATTCCAGAATTATCTTCCCCAGACACGCCTTCATCAATCCGCATCATTATTTTGCTACACAGAATCTTTCAACATCACATGCATTACTTATATCTTCTTATAAACAAATAAATCCTGCTATTTTAAATTTTTGTTTTTTATATTGTCATGGTGGAGGCCATTTTGTTTCATAAACTTTTTCATTTTGCATACATTGTATAATTTTGCAATTGAATAAGTTTTTACTGCTAGTGATATTTAATAGTCAATTAGTATCCTAAAACCATTTTGTTATATACTGATAAGTTATTTTGGTGTGTGTAGGGGGACCTGGAAGCAACTGACAAAATTTGATGGATATGATCAATAGATCAGCAGGCACAAGAAAAGACAACTCACACACACAAAAATATGGAAGGGTGCTGAACTGTTCTTGGCCTGGCTCATATTCCAAAATCTGACATTCTTATTTAGACTATGAACTTTTCAGCACACCCTTGAAATGGGCCTTTTCATATTGAATAAAATTAACAAAATTGTACATGTTGACAGCCTCTCTATAGAGATGATGGGTTAATTATTGTACCTGACAACAGGAGAGCAAATCATAGAATTAGAAAAATGCTTTTCAAAATCTTCCAGGGCCTAGATTTTGATATCACAGTCGGCATGAATAAAAAAAAAAGTCATACTATATTTGGACGTAGAGTATCTGACTGTTGAAAAATTGTATATTGGTAGTACTAAGAATTCTTTCAAGACTAGGTGGTATCAATGTATCTTGTACTTCACCAATAGTACTTATAGAAATAATACATCACTTTCTAAATATATTTGGAGTTTAAAAATACTAATAAAACTCCTAGGTTGAAATGGAAAATTTTAAAAATAGCTAGAACATGTAGATCTTTATATGAACCCTGTTTTCTGTGTTTACATGAAAAATTGGAAAGTATCAGATTTTTTCATAAAAATTCCTTATTAAATCAAAGTGAATTAATGATAAATTATAGACATAGTTTACCTTTTACTTTTCAATTTAGTTGAACGTCAAAATTTGATAATGGATATATGTTTCTAATTATACTTATGCCTACATATAACTATCACCTTGTTTCCCTTATTCAACAGCTGGTCATATAGTTTTGTATTAACAAAATTATTATATTAGATTAAGGCTCCATTGGCTTTGACATTAAGTCCTCAGTTTATTTTATATTTTAATTGTGTGTGTGTGTGTGTATATATATATATATATATATATATATATATATATATATATATATATATATATATATATATTATATTTTTATTATAAGAGATTATAATAAAAAAACATTTTAAACCGCTACACAAAAACTTTCATCATTTGTGTGTGTGTGTGTGTGTGTATTCAAACATATACTGTTAAATATAACAGACAACTAATGTCTATTATGTTTGATCTTCATATAGTTGCTTTAATTTGGGGAGAAAAGACAAAAACTGTCTAACATTTGGATATTTTTTTTGCTCACATGAGCTATCTTCAGAGTAGTTCTATGGACATTTAAATAAAGATATTCACCATCAAAGATGATATTCTGTTATGCTGATGTAGAAGATTGCTATGTGACAATAACGGTTGCAGAATAGTAGACGCATGTCATAAGTTTGTGATGCAGTTCTGACATCTTAAAATTAAATCAACTATATGAAGTTTAGAATGGCTCATGATCAAACATAATAGACATTCATTGTCTGTTATATTTAATAATATATGTTTGAATAATGATCTTCTGCCCCTATACACTATATTTCAATGTGCAATATTTCTGTTGTTGTAAAGAAAAGAAAAAGAAAATGTCAACTTGTAGTAGCAACAAATGTCTGCAATAGATTTCTTGTCTCTCTCGACTGCAACACTTGTAGCCAAATCACAGTTCAAACGATAGTCTGTTGTAACAGTCCAACAGGCAACATAGAAACGACAAAATGGGGTCACATATCCAACCTTCACTTCTCACCAGCAAAAACGCATGTTTGTCCACCAAGCTAAGAAAATCTCATGCTGCATAAGCGAAAAACAAGGGCTTTTGTTCACCGAGAGATCTTTCTGATTGGTCATGCCATTCAGAGGAGGGAAGAACATTAGCATAGATTCTGGTCCTTAAAGTAGATTTTTGCTAAACTACTTTTTGATAATTTTTCTTCAAAAACATGAACTCTTTTTTGAGGTAGCTGATTATCTCTTTCACTACAATTTCTCTTGTCAGTTCTTCAGAAAAGTGTGGCTGGTTCTACACAAGCCTTGATCTCTATAATCAAATCCTCTATGTGGGTCACCTAGTGGTTCAGCTCTAAAACTCTGCTGCTGGGATCCCGTACAACAAAATCAACAGGAGACTCCACAATACAACACTATACATATGCAATAGACACACGCACATACACACAAATAATGGTCTCTGAATTTGCAAACAAAGTGACATTTTCCATTTTAATCACTCACTAGCATCATTGCCAGAACATTATATTAAATATGGATACATTTTTGTTTTAATTTTATAATAAAGAAATAATTCTAAAATTCTGACTGAGAATTCCTGAAACAGAAACATTGAAACTAATGCACTAAATTCAACATATACATACCATTCCCAGACTCTGAGACTCTTGTCATCAGAAGTAGTGACAAATCTACGGTTTTGGTCAACAAAAGTGATTGTGTTGACAGCACCTAAATGTCGGTCATATTCTTGTACAATATCCCCTGTACGAATATCCCACTGAAAAAAACAAAAAAACAAAACAAAACAATGTTAAAAGTGCTAACAATAAAAATTAACTAAAATAAAAGGCAACTTAATTTCAATTTTATTTTCAATAGTGGATTACTATTCTTATCAAGTGCACTAGATTTGTATTATGAATTTTATAAGTATAAAATTGGCAGCAGGTCTGGAAATTTTGCTATGATTTGCATATGTGATAATCAAAATTGTGAATCACCATTTGTTCTGGTCTGGAATCTGTTTTCTTTTAACACAAAAATAATTATTTGGCACTGAGCTTCATACAAACCACTTGGGTTTCATCAGTGAGACAATTTATAATGGAAGTCTGTATCAAATCTCTACAATTCTCTGTTTTAGTCTATATCTTTTCATTTTTTTTTTTAAAAGCTTATGTACACATCTTAATCTTTGACTCCATTATGAACATTTTTGAATGCTAGTGATTGACTTCTTCTCGAACTTGCATTTTAAAAGAATTATAATTGACAACTGATGGTTGTTCAATTTTTTACTTTATTTCAAGGAATAAATTACTACCATAGAATGCTTCAATCAGTTTGGGTCAGATATTATTTCATTTCTTTCCACTTCCTGAAATCTGCAAGTAATTTCAATAAATTAAAGCCCAAGTGACAATAATGCTTCAAAATTGCAAGCATATCCGTACTGTCATTATAATATCTGAAATCTGCAACAACATTTACAACTGGAGTGTAATTATTATTATTAATATAGTCGAGTCATAGATGATTTTTAGATGTGTACGTGAAGTAATTAATAGATTGTAAAAATGAAAATACTTTTGATACACTTAAATATAACAATTCTCTCTTTGTTTGTCTGAGATAAACAATATCTATCTTTTATACTGTTAGAATATATATGTAGTTAATAGGCATTCATCAGTTTTGAGAAACTATAGAGTAACTAATCCCTGTTGCAGACATCTACTCGGGCACATTTATGTTTCTTTAATATCCACAGAGTCAACCTGTGCTTTATAATGTAACTATGTTGATTGGACATTAGTTACAGTTTCTAGTACAGATTGCATAAACTGGCATGATCAAAAGTTGAACAAGGCTAGTACACTCAAGCCATTAGTCACAATGATTATTGACTTTGTACTAGCACCACCCCCATTAACAATTTCCAAATTTTGTTGACCCAATTTCATTCACACGGCTTGGGTCAACCAGTGGTATGGTTTTCTAGCACTTCTCAGCTGTACCATACATTGGGATCCCTTCCCCAGCTCAAGATTATCAAGAAGTCATCTTCTTGACAAATTGACTCTGGCAAGATTTGAATATTTTGTTATTTTCTACTTGATTCTCTTTTGCATTCTCCTTTCTCTGTAAAGAATTTCCATGGATCACAATTTTTAGATTTTTCATTGTTTCCAAGGGTCTTGATAGTAGATTTGTTGAGCTTTAAGTAAAATTTGATACAGACATGTTGGTCTTCATCAGTCACTGTAAAGATCACAGAGCTGTCCCAATATTGCATTAAAAAAAAAACTTGCATAATAATTGTAAATAAGAAGATAGCATGGAGCTTATTGGCAGACTAAGTAGTCGAGGTACCAATGAGCACTAGCAGTGCAAGTATTTCTAGTGAATGGTACAATTATGGTGCATGCAGTCCAATACCACTTTGTAAATAATAATAATAATAATATGTAGTCTTGCAATTATAAAAAAAAAAAAAAAATCAAAACCAAAAAACAAACCAAAAAAAACAAAACCAAAAAATAACAAAACAAACCCCACCAAAAGAACAAACAAAAAAAAACCAAAACAAACAAGACAAAAAAAACAAAAAACAAAAAACAACAAGCAAACATAGTAGAATTATTATAAAAATTTATAATGATTAGTATTTGCCCAATTTTTTCTTCCCTACTATTTTTGCAGATTTTTTTTTTTTTTCAAATCTGGATTTAATTTTCTCTTTTGTAGTAATTGACCATAGTTAAGTGTAATTGGCAAAATACTTAAGAAATGGAATCGACAAAGTTCTCAATAAACAATAAGAAAAGGAAAAAAAAAACAATGGGCAGGGTAAAACAATACTAAGCAAACAATATATATGCAAGTCAAAACTAGGCAAGACAACAATAACAAGGTAAAATGTTCACAAAGAATTGTGTTTCATGTGCAAAAGGGATACAGTCAAGTGATTATACGAGTAAATGGCCATGGTTAAGTGAAACTGACAATGTTCTCACTAAACAATAAGAAAAGGAAGAAAAAAAAAACGGTAAAATAATACTAAGCATGCAAATATATATATATATATATATATATATATATATATATATATACATCAAAAGTAGGCAAAGCAACAGTAATAAAGCAAAAAGTTCACAAAAGTAATAATTGTGTTCCCATGCAAAAGGCATACAGTCAAGTGATTGTAGCTTTCTGACAAAACAAAAAAGAACAAAAAAAAAAAATAAAAAATATATAGCAAATGAGACTGATAATTGGTCCATTTTTATTGGTGAGAAAGAAATCCCAGCAGGCATCTGTGAGATATGCCTAAATTGGGGGAGGGGATGTTCTCGGCAGTCATTCCTAACAGATTGGAATGAACAGCTCTCATCAACAGAAGAATTTTCATCAATGTTTAACCTTTGTGCCCACAAAAAGACTATGTGTCAAAAATTCCCTTGACAATGTTATTACACCATATTATTATTATTTATTTATTTATTTATTTTTTTTTTAAACACCCTTGGCAATGTTTATTTACAAGATTATAAAAATATGTGAACCAAGTACAATGTGATATTTATCATTTACCATTTTACAAAAGAAACAAATTTGAAAAGAAATCTTTTTATTTAAAAATTTATAAAAAGTGACAAAATTATCAAAATATATAAACCAACAACTATACAATATTTGTGGTAAAAACAAATATCACATAATTAAGCACAAAAAAAACTGTCCATCCAATAGTAAGAAATGCACTCACAATATTGAGTGTTTGTGGTCTCACCTAAAATCTGAAATTTTGGTTCAGAGGAAGAAATGCACGCAACCTATTTTAGTGATTTTATGTGGCAAGAGCAAATAGAAAGAAAAACATTGAGAATGCATTTTTTCAAAATTTATAATTACAGATACTCATCATTATGTGTTTATTTAAATGTTTTTGTTTAGACATTTTTATAAATCTATGAATGAAAAAATTTCTTTTCATATTTATTTCTTTATAAAATGGTAAATAATAAATACTAAATATTTTTACAATCTTGTAAATGAGCAATCCAATAAATAAACAGTGTTTAACATCTTTGTTGTCATTTCTCAAAAATAAAGAAAATGTATGAATTCACTTTCTTGTTTGGGTTTTATTAAAATTCTAATTATCTCTTTTTAAAAGAAATATTGCCAAGGAAGTAAAATAAAATAGTGTAATAGTGGTGTCAAAGGAATGAACATCCTTTTGACATGACATTCTTTTTTTGCGGCACAAAGGTTAAAGATAGCCAAATTTTCATTCAAACAAAAGTAACAGATACAACATTTCATCATAGACAAAGATCAGAAATGAAAATTATTCATTGCACAAAACTCATCCCTGCTACTGAAAAACTGACAAGTTTTATCATCCCAATTTTCAACTTGTATTTTATTTTTGTTGTAGTTCTTAAGCAGACAGTACAGATTAGAAATAAATAAATTCTAGTGAGGATACTTTATTTTGCTATAGAAATCCTATATCAGTTGCTCTGCTGATTGGGCAGTAGATCCAATCTAACCATAGAAAATATATATTCTATAAAAGCAATTGGAATAAAGATTAAAAAAAAATTTTAATAGATGACAATGCTTCATCTCCTAAAATAATGTTTATAATTATTAAAACATCTGATTATATTCTCAAAATGATAATCACTGATACTGGTGCTATTACAATGATCAACATTCATGGGCAATAAAGCCACTAAGATACAAGGGGTTACTGAGTGTGAAAGGTTGGTTCCAATCCATATAGGAATGACTGCAAAACACTTTCCCTCCCCAATTTATAGGCAGAAGCACACAAATGCATGCTAAGATTTTTTCCTAGCCAATAACACTAACTGGTTCTCGATTTCATAGGACTTCTAAAATTAAAAAAAACCTTCGGTCTAAAGAAATGAATATTTAAATATATTCATGAAATAAATTATAACTGAGATATATATTTAATGATTTTCTTGACTTATAATAATAAATACACACACACACACATACACAATAATTCCTCCATTAGTGTAGGTAATGTGCACATTGGTAATTAAAAAAAAAAAAAAAAAAAAATCAATTTTCAATTACTTTGGTTAAACTGAAGAATATTTTATCACACTAATCCAATATTACATATGCACTAATTGAATTTTGATATATCAAAATTTTAGCACACTAATTGAAAACACATTGTTCGAAGGATTCCTGTATTGGATAGTAGAATGACAAAATAGAAAAAAATGTAAAATGTTTCGTCCTATAAAAGGATTCACCAGATGAAATGTTATTGATGGAATTATATATATGTAGAGAGATGGGGGAAATATAAACGTAAACATTGGTGCATCATTATATATATATATATATATATATATATATATATATAATAAAGGTAAAATAAAATCCGTGGATATATAATCCAAGTGGGTCCTAATAATATAAGAATATTAAAACTGACCCACAAAAGAGAGCTCAATGTATTTTATTTATACAGAGCAATATGATAAACAATCAAGAAAAATCTTTTTACCTCGTATGTGTAAACTTTAAAAATCAGGAGGTCAGTTGAATCTACTACCTTGGTTTCAACCTTACGGTATCCTCAGCCAATTTTTATCAAATGACCTCACAAGTTAAAAGCTCTACATGTTACTTTTACATTTATTTTGTTTTTTCATAAGTGTATTGAGCACTTTTGAATAACACTGTTTTCTGGTCTGATTCAAGTCTGAGAGTTAACATTTTATG